CCTGCCTCTTCTGGCAGCCTTTCTCCAATACGAAATCAGAAAATGCACAAGAGGTGGGTCTTGTCCTATTCCTTATTTTCTGTCACCAAATGACATCACTTTTCCCCCTTGAACATTTTAGTCTCTCCTCCTTCTGAACAGAGATATAAGCAGGCAGGCATAGCATTGTCCGTTGTAACAGTGATGTGTATAAAACAAAATTTTAAAATTAGTATGATATAAGGAAAAAATAAATTAATAAAAGGAGTTTCCCATGAAATGGTTTTCCTAAGGAGGAAAGTTTTGAACAGAAATGACTTCCATGAAATGGTATAAGAGGGGAAGAATTTCAAGTGTACATGTACAGAAAGAACACACTTCTATGAAAGTACATGTAACATTAACTTCTGTGAAGTTAAGACTAAAGAAATAAACCTATGTGACCTGGATTAGGAGGTTGACTTTGAAATGCCCACTATAGACTTTGAAGGTAAATGAAGGAATACTTTACTAAAGGTTGGATATCAAGATGTTAATTGGTCATTAACAACATCATAACAAGGCTAACAATACACTTTTCCTCCAGAGGTATAGTGATATTTAATCCTCAGAAAGGTCTAGAAATGTATAGCAAAGCCCTGTTGATGACTTAGAACAGAAACATAGAAAAGAGTAAATCTAGATGGATTCATAGTAATCTGTGTTAATGGAGATGAAACTAGTATTTCTTCTGCCCTGTGCACTGAATGCTCTCCCTTGTAGTTTTAATTTTTCTTTAGTAAAGCCTGTTCTGACTTCCACACACAGCATGTGAACTGGAAATCTTACAAGGATGCAGGCTTGCTAAAGAAATTTGTGAGAAGGGAAAGAGTAACAGATAATAATCTCTTAAAATCTGTTCAAACATCACTCAAAAACAGTTTTGTGGCAATCGCCTGAAATCTAACATCCAGAACACAGAGTGTGTGGGTGAGCTCAAGGGCAGACAGAGGTTTTTCCTTCAGTAAGTCTCCTACAGTTCCCTGTTTAAACTGAGTTAGGGTGAATTCTGGCAAATCCCCAATTTACAATTCCTCTAGGAAGATAAAGTTCACAAAATCACCATGCCCGACAATGGGACTCCAAAACTTTTTCAAATTCAAGTTGCTTTTACTGTTTCAGAGAGAAATTTAAAAATGTACAAACAGTTGTTATAGAGGATCACAAAGCACATTCCTGTGTGTTCCTGTCATGCAAATATGTAAAACTAATGCATGGTATAAACATGTGCATAGGCTGACGTACACAAGCTCCAGATGTACTGTTTTCTAACTCGGTGGGTTGTGTCCTCTATAAGGGAAAAAAGAAATATTAATCATTGCTTTTACTGCCGAGGGGATGGGAGCTGCTCTCATATTTCAGAAAGGGGCTGGAAAGTGAGGGAAGCCAAACTTTTTCCTATTTAAGGCCAAAGCAGAGGAGCGTCAGTGGCTGTTTTATGACGGGCCCGGTGCTGAAGGGCAGGGAACAACTGATGGTGCTACTTTGAGCTGCTTTTTCTTTTCTCCTCTTGCACAAAGAGTCTCATGTCTGATATTTAGACATGATGAGCTTTGTGCAAAGTGGGACCTGGCTTCTTCTCGCCCTGCTTCGTCCCACTTTCATTGGGGCACAGCAGTCCAGTGTAGGTAAGTAGGTACTGATTTCAACAGGCTTTCTGGGTTAATTTTGTCTTAACTTCTTACAAAGAGTCACACAGGGAAAAAAAATCAGCTTCCTAAGAATTTTCTGCCTAACTTCTGAGTGTGGAATGCTTCTCTAACCATAATTTAGCTTTCTATGTTTGTTTATAAAAAAAGATAGTGCATATGTAGATCTGAAAAATCTCCAGTTGTTAAAGATAAAAATGTTCTAAGTTAATTTGTTTTCATGTACACCTTTAAAAAAATGGCTTTAAAGCACTCCCCTCCTGTTTTGTGAACATCTTGGAATGCTCCCAAGCCATCTGGAATTTATTGGTCTCTTGTAATAATTTCATGTTCTCCTTTGTACGCTGTTCTCTTTGCAAGGATGGGATATTTAGCCTTGTTTTCCCAATAAAATAATGCATTAGAAATATATCTGTTACTAATACCACAGAAGAAGGTACTAGAAGACCAACAGAATCCCTTTATGCATTTCTGTAAATGTAACACTGGTGTATGTATGGACATTCCTGAAATGAACACAGGCTGCTGAAAACATGTCATTGTTTCTGTTTTTATTGCATTCTAAGAATGTGCATAGTTGATCAATCCACACTTCCTTAGAGTTTTGCTGGAGGTTGTTTTATATTCCACATGTTCTGCTTAGCTGGATTTCTACTACTGGAGAGAAAATGTTTTAAAAGGACTATTTTTGCTTTTCTACAAACAAGGTAAAGATACTAGTTTTGTTCAAAAAAGCTTACCTGATATATTTTTGGTAAGCAAATATAATGATCTTTAGTTTATTGTGCCTCAAATTAAAGGCAATTGTCTCCTCATTTATTTAAATACTTTTGAAAATGCGTATGTTCCTCAACATAGTGAAAAAATGGGGTGCACACTTTCCTCAAAATAATTGTGTTGTAAATCTTAACTATGTTAGCACTTTTTAAAAACCACATCAAACTTATTTGTATTTAATCCTTTAGTTTTGAGAAATGGTTCATGAGTATTAGATTTTTCACCATCTGTAATATCAGTATATTTGCTATCTTCACAAATTATATATTCAAGAGTTGGTGGGGGGGGGTATACCAGATGACATTTATGTATTTTCAGTCCTTGGCTACAGCAGAAAAGGAACACCCAGATTTTTTTGTTCCTTAGTTTTCTTTTCCCCTTAACCCACCCCTAGCCCCTGCCTTCTCCCTCTTCATCTCCCCACCCCTTTTGGCTCCAAAGGAACTCCCCTCCCAGTTTTCCTTCCTCACTCATCACCCCACCCCCATCCTGGGCTTGTTCACCTCCCCTCCCTACTTCCTCATCCTTCCCTTCTTCTGCCACACCCTCCTGAGCCCAGGGTGTCCCCCCCTCTGCTTCCTTCTCTGTTCTCATTTTCTTCTCTACCTGCTTCACATTTTCTTTTCTTTGGATACTCATTTCTTCTTTAGCATTCTGTCTTCATTTTCTCTCCCCATCCTGCCCTCCTAGAAGGTGCAACAATCCCCATGCTTTCCCTAGAATACCAAAAGACATGAACCAAAAGAATGTTAATTCCCCAGCTTCCCAGTAAAGATCTTCAGATTTCTAGGAGAAGAATCACAGAAATTCAAAGAACAAGGAAAGGGATTTAAGAGCTTGTATTTCACATTTCTTGTAGGTTTTTAGTGAACATCCTGCTGGATGGTTAACTTTGGGGAAGTTACAGTAGGTGACTTCTATTCAGCACACTGGGAACATTCATAGGATCACAGTGGGTTATCTCCTATGTCTTCTAGAAACCCCAGTACTACAGAGTTGAAGGACACTAACCTGTAATCTATTCGTGGGAGTTTTCAGGAGACTAAGACATGTCTCCAAAAGGAGTTTTGTCTTTTTACAAATCTGTGCAAGTCTTCCTTTATTCATGCATCTGAATCCAGCTATGGAAAAACGTGGTCTGTTTTATATTTCCTGTGGTTTATAAGCATGCCAGATTTTTAAGTGCTAAAACATGCCACCTAGTGGATGACAGACAGGGACACCATTTACACAACCAGTTCCAAAATGAGTGTTAATACCACAGGATTGGTATTTTAAGATGAGGTGTGTGTGTGTGTGTGTGTGTGTGTGTGTGTGTATTTGTGAATTTGTGAATTTACAGGTCAGGCATGCTTGCGCAGACCTGTAATCCCAGCTACTTGGGAGATTGAGGGTAAGAGAATACAAGTCCAAAATCTGCCTAGGCTATAGAGTGAGTTCAAGGTCAACTTGGGAACTGCAATGAAACTATCTCAAAATAAAAACTTTAAGAAAGCTGAGGATGTAGGCCAATGGTTGAGAACATGTCCATCACATATTCGGCCTTAGTTTCTCCCAAGTGGCCATAGAAACGCTATAGGTGATTCAAATTAATAGTATAACTTTTTAAATGTATTTTCCCCACTCATCGGATAACATTCTCACTTATCATTAGTATTTTACTGACTGTAGGTCCATAGATAGATATTAATAATATTGTTTTGTTAGGGAGGGACAGAAATTATTACAATTAAATGTCCTCTAATATTTAACCTTCCACATTTTGCTATGATGATAATTTCACAAAAATTAACTGTGAGCCATTAACTGATTGGATTATAAAACTGCAAATATCTTGGAGAATGAATTCTTATTTCATGTTTTGTGAGTCTATTTCCCTTTATGTTCAAAAGGAAAGTTATAACTAATATTAACAATTTAATATTCTCTGATTTGTGTTGTTCTAATTATTAGATATACTAAACCAATCGAACAAAATGTTTCATAAAGTCATTGGAAATAACCGTAGTTCTAACAAGAGAAAATTTATTGTTTGAACATTGTAAATTATGTACATATCTCAGTGTCAGTCATGTAACTGACAATGTGTTAGTATAGATTAGAAACTGGAAATGACAGGGTTAATACAAGAATGGAAATTTGAAGAAATGTTAAGTGACTTGAGAATAAAAATCATAAACTGAGTATCTGGATTTTCTTATTTTTGTAAATATTTGTCAATAAAAGAGCAATTCCAAAATCTATACTGTTCCAGAAAATATATTTATAAAGGTTTTTTTTTCAAAAGATAGGGTTTTTTTTCTATTTAGTACTCAACTTTTATCAGATTAATCTGGTTTATCACACAAAAGGCTCAGAAGCTAATGACTTAACCAGGAATTACCATCTCTTCTATGAAAATGCACACCACACGTAAATAAAGTTCTATTGATATACACTTTTGGTTTTCTATTTGTGACCCCTTGCATTTCCTCAGCTCCTCTACAGTGCTCATTCTGGGGGGCGGGAGAGGCCTGTGACTCGAGGGACATTCTACTTAGACTGAGGAAGGAATACCTGAGCGTCGTAGAAAACAGCCGCCAGTCTTCTGAAAGCATGCTGGGAGAGAGGAGAGCAAAGATCCTTTAATGAATGCCGACTCTTGTGTTAGGGTCTTGCCCAGAGGTTTCTTTTCTAAAGAATTTCCCAGCACTGTAGTAGACAGCCAGCTCTTCAGAAAGGCCAGTTTCATACCTACAGGACCAGGCAAGGCCTGGAGTAGTAACTCAGAAAAGACTGCCACCTACCGAATGAAGCTCTGGTGTCCACCTAGGACGAAGCTCTGTGGTGCAGGGTTCCTAGGTAGTTCTTTTACTTTGTGACAGAAGTCATAACTCCATCTTGAAGCCATTAAAATGGGTGGCTTGCAAGTCAGAGCTGGGAAGATGAACTATAAGCTTGCTTTTGCTGGACGTGGGTGACACTGGTAAAGTTTGAGGTCCACTGTAACTTTCTGGAAATGTGGGGGAATTGATTTTTACACAATGTTTCATTCTGTTTTTTAGGAAGAACAGCTTGGTGTCATTTTTTTTTTTTTTTGCTGGTTAGAAAAGAAGTAGTCACATTGTATATTTTTTTTAATCCAAAAATTTTCAGAGAGGAAACTTTGCCTGTCAGGAAGGCAGTGGAAACTCTGAGTTAGCTCTCAGTACAGCAGTCATTTGTTAGCTGCAGTTTGGAGAGTTCCATTTACCGCTAGCAGCTCTGTCTGTGCTTAAGAAAAACACAGCCCTAGTGGATTCCTTTCAGATTAACTAATCAAAGCCTTGCTTTTTCCATGACTGAGGTCAAGCACTGCCATTTAAAATGTAATCTCAGTGAACAAAATGGAAAGTTCATATGGGAGGAACACTAAAATTGTCCCAGAGCAGTAAGGTTAGAACACAACTAATCTGAAAACTATTAACAGTTAAATTAGCTTTGAAAATTAGCATTGAGAGATGAGTTTTCCAGTAACACATTTGTGAGACATTTTTCTTCGGTTTGTTACTGTAGAGGCAGACTACATTTTGCAGAGAAACACTCCATGGTGTTGCATATAACTTACACAATCCCAGTATCGTTCAAAGGAAATGTGATCAAGTTACAAATTCAACTGTATTTTCTGAATATTAGTGCCTTGGTCATTGTAAACACATCTATTCATTGGAAGCAGAAGTGTATGTTTGTTTCTGTCTGTCTCCGTGCCTGGTGGTCTGGATGCCATCAGGGTGGCCTTGAAAATACAAACCTCTCTCATAAGGTCAAGAGAAATAAACAGTAGGGCTCAACTCCAGATGCTATCTCCCCATTTTAAGATTACAGAGAAAAGAGATTGTGCAGACCACTGTTATTCCTTTAAAAGTCTGCCTTCGTATTCCTGAGGGCACAGAGTTTACAAACCACATGGGACAGCAACCCTTTATCCCATCCTATTCTTGAAAGCAGAAAGAAAATATAATGAAGCAGTTAAGAAGGCATCCTAGATTCAAATCTTCTTTTCTTTAGCTATTTAATCTAGGGAATTACTGTTTGTTTCAGGTTCTTTGCCTGCATTGAGGATTGTAATAGTATTCAGATGATAAGACCTTTACAAGCAGGATGGAAACCATGAAATCAATGAAGTGTCAGGTATGGTGATGCACACCTGCATTCCGAGCAGGCACCTGCAGTGATGCATACCTGAACCTGCATTCCCAGCAGTCTGGAAACTCAGACCAAGGACTGTGATTTCAAGACAGCCTGAGTTAAGGGTGAAGACCATGATTCAAAAGAAAACAAAAAGATGTCAGTTGCTCAAGAACAGTGCCTAGAACACAAATTTCATGATTTGGCAGATTATATTATAAATATATGTAAATATAAAATAAATAAATATAAATAAAATATTTAAATGCTGGAAAGGGTAAAGTTTATCAGCAAATTCCTTTGCTTTACCATGACTTCCCAGGTTTGATACTGAAGTCAGGGTCATGAGACATTGATTGAAGGGGTTCTGCTTAAGTAGCTTATATTGCTAAGAGTAAGTTTAAAACTTTGTTTCAAACAGATATAAAAAAATTATGGCAACAAATTAGATTCATTAATTTTTATTTTTAAGGTACTCCAAAACTTATTTTATGTAGAACAACATAACTTTCTAAAACAAAAGAACATATGTAATGTCACTTTAAATGTTATGAGCAAATTAAAAGAAAGATGTCACCCCAAAAGGTGGTATCACATTAAAAATAAAAGTAGTGGTTTCTAAAGGTGGGGGATGGAAACAGAATCATAAACTGCCCAGAATGGTACTAATAGGAACTCACACCGAGAAGATATATATGCATGTATGTATATGTGTGTGAATATATTACATGTAACCCAATTAAAATGTAGAATTTTATTATTTTATATATTAATTAAAATATTTACAAATATTAAAAATTTGTTAAATGATGTAGTAAGATACATTGATCATCATATTGAAGTCTCTGTACTTAAAAAATTATAATATTGCTAATAGACTTTGGAAACAAGAAGTCAAATAACATTTTTCTATTATATATCCCTAGGTTTAACATGTTAATTTATAATCTTAATGAATTAATGTCATGCTTGTCTACCTGACAGTGTTCAGAACAAATAATAAACACTATTTCTTCTGATGTGAGAGCACCCTAAATTGGGTATACACATAGGGGAGAAAAGTTTTATGCTAGCTCCAAGGCCAACTAAGAACATATAAAGTCTTTTAAAACATGAGGTACTTAAATCTAGCATTAATTGCTATATTAATGTATGTTTAACTTATGCATATCCAATAGTTCCTTTTAATAACCTGCATGCTGTATTGAAAATGGAAAGCCATTTCTGATTCAAAGATAAGTTTCTGAAATAATTAGCACAGTCTGCCAGTAGTTTCAAAGGGCTTATATTGGCCAGTTTGACGCCACACATTCATTAAGAATATACTAAATTGGAGCTAATCAAATAAGCACTTCTTGAGAGAAGTTGGAAAATGACTCATATTAAGAAAGGAGGACCCCCGTGAAAAGATTTCAGTGATTTCACTAAAAAAGTCTTCCATCTCAAAACTAGTTTTTTTCTGCCAGCTAATTGAACATAGTTTTTAAAAAATATCAGTTCTAGATAAATACAAATAGGCTTAGTGCTCATCCCTGTGTACATTAATAGTCTTAATTATTCAAAAAAGACTCTTTGCCTTCTCTTGAATTCCTTTAAAAGAGCCTAATCCATGTATCCCTGCACCATTTGCACTTAGTTAAGCAGTTTGATCTTCAGCTTTTATAATCATTGAGAATAGAGGTGCATTCTTTAAAGTTTTAGAAAAACTATATCCCCTGTCCTCACATGTCTGCTACAGATACAGGAGGATCTGAGTCAATTTTGCTAAATGAAACAGATTTTTTCCCATATAATTTTTGTTCCCTATTGAAAATTTCAGTGGAACTTGTCATTTTTGCTTTCTATTAGCTGTTAGGTTGGTAAATTGTTAAGACAAGAATGGGTCTTGAGTCATACAAAAAGTTTGAGCTATTTCATAAGATGATTAAAGTTGTATTGGCACACATACGTAGACCAGAAGTGGAGGCAACTCCATAGTCTGTAGAGACTGGATATTCTGACATTTCTCTTGATGGTAAAGTTTCAGATGACTCAAAGTATCTAAATATGAAGATAGGGAAAGAGAAATTTGCAATTGGAGTTATAGGAAAATAAAAGCTTCACTGTCTGAAAAAATATGAAAGAACCCAACAAGACATTGCTTATATTCAAATTGTTTGCAGATGTTTAAAGCTTATTATTTATTCATTCATTTTTTGGCAAACTGTCATAGTAATTTTCAAGATGCATTTAACCATACTACAGAGTTAACACTTTAGGAACTGAGATCAGGTTTTATTTTGGCATGTCCTAAGTTGGTTCACTGTGAATGGTTGCTGAAATTTCATTTTTCTTACATATAATTAAGAACCAACTCTAAAATTTTGGTTGAAGCAATTTCTTTTGCCATAGTAAGCCACAAATACACATGGCCTTGATTCATACTTCCCTATTATTTCTACTGATTCATTGCCAATACTTGCTTTAAAGTTTCTCTTTATTTTAGACATTTGGAAAACTCTTTACATTTGTGTATGATATAGATTACATTATGTCATTTAATGTTGACCCACTAAAGCCCAACAGAGCTAGCAATTCAAAATACAATCAGCTTTGTTCATTTTCCCAGAACAATCTGGAAGAGTTTTGTACTGCCAAGATTAGCTCAGTTTTCCCCTGAATTTCTCAAGTAGGTTAATAAAATCCAGAAGGTCCCAGAGTTAGTAACAAAATAATCATCCTTTTAGTTGCATGCTCCCATCTGTCATTAAAGAAAAGAATAGCAATTGGGTAAAAATGCTTATTTTCATTTGCATACTTAGTATACAAGTGTTTGAATGTTTATGTTGTATTTGCTGATGCTAAACTTTTAATATTCATAAAGTTAAAACAATTACATTTATGGAAAATTGTGGTGTGACATTTTACCTTAAGTAGTACCTTGGCACATAGCAATTATGTAGGGGAAATGTGATTTTTTTAAATGAAAGAAAAAATTATGTTTCAAACTTTCACCATTTTGTCTCTACTCTGTAAATAGTTTTGTCTGCATAACCCCTCTGAAAAAAATTACATTTTGTCAAAACATCAAAAATGCCATATAGATTGCCTAGGCCTCCTCACTGACACCCACATTCAGGGGGCCTTGATCAGTCCCATGCTGGATTCCCAGTCATCAGTCTGGGATTCAAGAGTTTCTGGGAGTTAAACCAGCCCAGTCTTAGCCCCTTTGCTCATCAGTCCTCCCTCTCTGTCACTGGGTTCTTGGACTCTTGGGGGAGGGTCTAGGCCCTGCCCTGGATGAAATGACAGACTATGGACACCCCCATGGAGGGCCTCACCCTCCCTGGGGAAATGAGGGAGTGTTGGGAGGGGGTTGGTGGGAGGGTGTGGGAGGAGGGGAGGGAAAGGCAGAGGGACCTGGGATTGACATGTGAAGCAACCTTGTTTTTAATTTATATTTAAATTTAAAAATAAAAATAAAAAAACTGACATATATTCTCATTTCTCTCCCTGCAGGTGAATCAGGATGCGACCACCTTGGTCAGTCCTATGAGTCCAGGGATGTTTGGAAGCCAGAACCATGCCAAATATGTGTCT